CCGTTTAGATGTAAAGGTGGTTATTAACCCAACAGATTCAAATCTGTTTAAATTTGAATCTAACAGGTTTCATACCTGTTCAATTCAAAACCAAGAGCCACCTTTACATCTATAAATAGACTAGCCTCCCATTTGGATTTCACTCCAATTTTCGTACTCCATTCTCTGTTTTAAATCTCTGCATTTTGTTGCATTTTATTTCTGAAAAAAAGAGTATAAACACTTAGTGTGTTCGTAAGGCAAACAATTTGTAGTGCTGCTATTGTTTGTGGTAAGATCATTTCATCCTGGGAGATAGACGTCCAAATTCTGAAAGCACCGTGGAGAGGACGAATCTGTCTTAAGGACACAGTGTTAAACACTGGACTTGATCAGAAAAGTTATTCAAATAAATTAACCAAGTGAGTTGTTTAATTTTATTCTGTTTTTTATTTGTTTATTTAATCAGATTTTATTTTTGTTTTTTGTAACAAAATAAAATCTGTGGTTTTATTTATTTATTATTATTTCGAGTTTGATTTTTGTAATCAAACAAATTCTCTCCTTTTTATCTATTTCTTTTATTCTTGTTGTTGTTTTGTACACAACAGAATTTAATCTATTTAAATACAGTAAAGATTGTCCTACATAACTAGATTTTACCGAATACAGCCCAGACTTGTTAAGATGCCAAACCAACCGATCTTCTCTGTCCACCAGCGAAATGGAAATGAGCTGAATTGCTTGACAATCACCACTAGACAAAAAATGTTGAATGTCCTCAATTTTCCACTGTTTCCTTATGGGATCAATTGCATCTACGACTGTCACAATGTCACAACGTAGAGGTTTTGGGGAAGAAATCTGAAAAGTATGCACTGTTGGTATCCATTTGTCATCTCAGAACTGAACGGACTCACCATTTTGGACCTGCCATCATATCCCTTTTTTCAAGAGATCCCTCCCCCTAAGCAAATTAGTCCAGGCCCACGAAGCTCTCGCTCTAGTATTAGCACTGAGGAAGTTGGTATTTGGAAAGTGCAGTCCTTTGAAAAGTTGTGCCCAGTAGGAATGTGGTTTAGTGATTAGTCTCCAACCCTGTTTAACTAACATGGCCTAATTAAAGGCTGAGAAGTCACGAAAACCCATACCCCCATGGAATTTTGAGAAACTCATTAACTCCCAATTAGCCCAAGGAATCCCTCTATTCATTGGATCTCTTTCCACCAAAAATTCCGAATAGCTCTATTAACCTTAGCACCGAAAGATTTATGCTGTGTTTGGTTGGGGGATTTAGGGAGGGATTTGGAATGGAAAATGGAAAAGGTGTGTGAAACTATGTGAAATATAGGCATGATTTATTCATATTTCACCTACCTTTTTCATTTCCCTTTTCAAATCCCTTCCCAAATCCCCCAACCAAATATAGCATTAGGAAAGACAAAACACGCCATAGCGTATGAAGGAATTGCTTGGACCACTGCCTTTAACAAGATTTCTCTTCCAGCATGGGAAAGAAGTGTATTCTTCCAACCTTACATTTTCGAAACCATCTTGTCCACCGAAAAAACCATAAGCAGCAGATTTGGATAGGCCCTACCACGATGAGATATGAAGTGGTGGGTTTTCTTTTTTATATTCTATCTTTGGATTTGTCTCTAATTTTATGATTGATCTTTTTGTTCACATAAAAGAATTATTTTAATCATGTTATAATTGATGTGTCAAACTGTGATTAAAACACATTAACATTGTATTTAATTAAGAGATTTAAAAAGAGATTTGAAAAACGGAAGGAAAAAAATAAATAAATTGTGAATAAAATATATTTACATTTCATATATATATATATTTTTTAATTTTTTTTTAAAATTTTCTAATCAAACACAACGTAAGATAACATAGAGGATCCCACTCCCCATTAAGAAAGACAAGGGAAACACGGCAAACAGACAAGACAAGGAGGAGGAGGATTCTGTAATAAAACTTTGAGCAGCAAATAGATAATGACGTCATTCACGCATCACACTTCAAAAGTGAAACAAATATAAAAATGTCTAAAATTTAAGAAGTTTCTTGGTTGGGTGGTGATTAAGAGCTCCAATAATAGAGCTCTAATAAGAGCACTAGTAACATGGCAACTTAAAAAAAAAAAACAAAAAAACAAAACAAAGGCAAAAATATCAAATCATACAGTGGGGCCCACAGGTTAGAGCTCTTCTAGAGCTCACAATTTAGAGGTCTCAAGCATTTTTTTTCTTGGTTATAGTTAAAGAAGTAAAAAACATAATTCACTGTTTTACACAAAAAAAATAAATAAATAAAATAAAATAAAAATAATTCAATTTTTTTACTCGTAACAAAAAAAATTTATTATAAGAAATTAATGTTGTAGAGACAAATTTAAAAATAATTTTAAAAACAATAATAATGGATTTAATTGTAATGAAACAAAAAAATCAATTATAGCACATAAATTGCAGGTTTTATTAGAGATGAGAAAATGTCTCAATCTGTTGAGTTTCTCGACTCTTCCTAATCCTAATGGGATGAGTTTGGAGTGGTTGAATAGGGTAGGATTAGATTTGAGAAAATTTTTGAATAACTCGACCTGATTGGAAGTGAGAGCAGGAGAGTGTATTTTTTTACCTAAACCTAATCCGACCTACAGATATAATAATAAATAAATAATAATATTGCATTTTTACTTTTATCTATCTATATATATGTAATATGTGTATAATATATTATTAAGTTTCTATAGATTATAGGAGTTGTTTGGGATGATCTAAATAAGTGTATTTTTTGTCTTTTTACGAAAAGATGTGCAGAAAAGTAGAGAGGTGATGTCATAGAAAAAAGATAAAAAGATGAATTATTTAGGGGATGCCAAACCACCCCATAATATCCGTACAATAACATTATTGAGTTTCTATTATGCTATGTATATAAATTTTAGCATGATTTTGTTTTTTTTAATTATAAATATCATTTTCCAATTTTTTTTATTGAGTTTCAATATTATTACTAAATTTTTTATTGTGTTGTGGATCTGGTAGGGTTGGGATAAGGATTACATTACGGGTTTGGAGTAGGGGCGAGGAAGGGTTTCATAAGGATCGGGTCGGGTACATTGGATACAGTTTTTCAATTTAGATAGAATTTTGTTTATAATTTTAGTTTAATCCCGAATTTGTTTTGGCCCTTTTTAATTTATATAGACATATTGGGCCGTAATAAGTTATTGGGCCTATTTTGTTTTTCTAATACTGTTAAAATGAGCTATGGGACCTATTTTACTATTAAAGGTTTTAACAATTTTTGAGCTCTTTTTAAATTCATTGTGAGCCCAAGACAATTGTCTTTGTGAACAACACAATGTTAACATCCTCTAGTCTAGTTTTTATTTGTTGAAATGATTTAAAAAATTAAAAAAAGTATACTTTTTAATTTTTTTATAAAAAAATATGTAAAAAAGTAGAGATGTGATATGATCTGAAAAAAATAAAAAAGTATGCTTATATAGCACACCCCAAACAAGCTCTTAATTTTAGGCTAAAACAATTAATAAAAATAAAATAAATTAAATTAATTAATAAAATAAAATGTTACATTCAAATTATAATTATTTTACTTTTCCTCTTATAATTATCAAATCAACTATTAAAAAAAAAAGAAAAAAAAGTCAACTATCATCTCAAACACGACTTTTTTGGCTAGGGTAAAATAGTTAAAAAATCAAAAAGTTAAAATAATTAAAAAATCAAAAAATCAACTAAAATAGCCAACTTTCCAAATCAGCCCATTAAATAAATTATTTTTATTGTAAAAAATATCATCATTATATTTATAAGAGGCATTTTTATTGAGATACAAATGTTTAAAAAATGATTTCTTAATAAATCCTCCTATTTTTAATGATGAAATTTAGTGATATTCCAATAATATTCCATCCCCCAATTTTTTTCTCCCAGCAATGATGTGGTAAATGAGGCCAACCAATTAACTCTCTTCAAATTCTTCTCTTTTCAAAATTTTTTGTTACATCATCAAAAAGGAGTTTAGGGGAAAAAAAAATTAAAAAGATATAGCTCATGATGTTATCATTCTTTTTAAGCTAAAATTTTTTAAACTGACACCATGTATGGTTTCACTTAATATTTAGCTGTGTTGGGTTAATAGGTTTGGTCGCTCAAGAAGTTCATCGCCATGGATGAACTTCCATTTTCTTCTTCATCTCTCAAGCTCATTTTCTCTGCAAATCCAACCATTAAATGGATTTGAGGAAGAAGAAAATGGAAGAAAAAAGGTTTTTTTTGTTGTGTTGGGTTAATGGATTTGGTTTCTCAAGAAGTTCATCGCCATGGATGAACTTTTATTTTCTTCTTCATCTCTCAAACCCATTTTCTCTCAAACCCAGAGTTTTCTTCTTCCTCAAATTTGTTTTCTTCCAGTTTCTCTCAAATCTGTTTTCTTCTTCTTCTTCCTCCCTCTCGATCTGCAACTCTGCAATTTATTTATTATTATTATTATTTTTTTTTTGGATCTGACTCACCAAAACGACGTCGTTTTGGCGAGGGATCATCTCAACCATTGGTTCCATTAATGAGACACGTGTTGCACCATGAGGGATCACTCTGGAGGATCACTTCACAAGATCAGGGGGCGATGCCCTCGTGGGCAACGCGTCGCTAGTGTCAATACAAACATTTTTGGCACAATGCAATGGTAAAATGAGATTTATTAATTAAATATCGATTTTAGTAGCAAACGCCAAAGTAGCCAATTTACAATGATAAGGACTTGGATTTATATTTTGTTTTACATGAGGGCTCAATAATGTTACAGAAGACTAGCAAACTGAGAACCCAACTGGTTGGAAACTATGGAGCTAGTGAGCATAGTTTTGTATCTCATGTTAACTTTCACTTTGATTCAAGCTTTCCTGTCACTTGTACGAGGATCCAAAACATGTCGAAAGCTTCCGCCAGGACCCGCCACGCTGCCAGTGGTCGGCAACCTTCTCAAGCTGGGGAACAAGCCCCATAAGTCCCTGGCCGAGTTAGCAAAAACTCATGGCCCAATCATGAGTTTGAAACTCGGCCAAATTACCACAGTTGTCATTTCTTCATCAACCATGGCTAAAGAAGTTCTTCAAAAGCAAGACCTCGTCTTCTCCAACCGATCCTGCCCCAACTCAGTTCACGCCCAAGCCCACGACCAATACTCGATGGTTTGGCTGCCCGTTGCAGAGCGGTGGCGCAGCCTCCGAAAAATCATGAACTCCAATATGTTTTCGGGTAATACTATATAAACATAAATTTTGTATCATAGAAATCTTCTTGTAGTCTTCATTTCAAGTCAAAATATTCCTTATTGTACTTAATAATTGCAAACTTTCTCTTTTCCCAATGATCAAAAGTTTTATTGGAATAAATTCGTTGTCCATAAGCCCACAATTATTTTTTTTTTTAAAATTGACAACCCTTAAAATCAATCTTAACAATTCAATGAATTGAATTTTCTTAATATATTTGTGTGTCCGTATAGCATAGCTCGAAAATTTTAACAGGGCTAAACGAAGCCCTGTTTGTAAATCATTTATCTATCTTTTTTCAGGCAACAGACTCGACGCTAACCAAAGCCTACGGCAGCAGAAGGTGCAGGAGCTCATTTCCTACGTCGGAAAGTGTTGCCAGGAAGGTGTTGCGGTGGACATAGGCCGCGCAGCTTTCACAACTTCCCTGAATTTGCTGTCAAACACGGTGTTTTCGGTGGATTTAGCCGACCCAAGTCAGGATTCAGCGAAAGAGTTCAGGGACTTGGTTTGGAATATCATGGTAGAGGCTGGAAAGCCCAACTTGGTAGATTACTTCCCTGTTCTTGCGAAAATCGATCCACAGGGTATAAGGGGTCGGATGAGAGTTCACTTTGCCAAGATATTACAGCTTTTTGGTCGATTGATCGATGAACGATTAGAGTTGAGGAAATTGAGGAAGACGAGTGAAGAAAACGATGTCTTAGATATCCTGCTTGATATCATTGACCAGAACAGTGAAGATATTGATAGAATTCACATGGAGCATTTGTTCTTGGTTTGTCTGTCTTCTCCTTCTTGTTCATCTAGAATATATCTAGATTTTATATTTTAATTTTATTAAGCTAATTTTAAAGAGGGCCCTCCATAAAGAAACATACAAATAGGCCTAACCTAAACGGAGTTATGTCAGGGCCACAGGTTGTCATGGCCCCCAAAATATTTTAAAATTATAAAATTCCTTGTACATGAAATGGCCCCTCAAGTTTAAGTAATTTTTTTATTGGTCCCCTATTTCAAGATTAATTTAACAATGTATATGGGATGATCCTTCTAAGTTTTTAAATTTTTTTCCTACCACTCCTATATTTTAAATGGGAAATTACAAGATGGTAGGAAATGAAGATTTTATTTACTAAAAGATGGGGTACAATAAAATGAAAGTCTAATTTAAGATATTAATTATATGGCTCAAAAAATGTATGAAATAATTAAATAACTATTAGAAAATGATTGATACAAAATTTTTTTTTTTTTCCAAAATGTTTACGTAAAAAATTCATTTTATTATTTTTTTACACTCAGCTTGCCCCCGAGGTTACCAAAACATCATGAGTTCAAACCACAAAAATAATCTCTTCATATGAGAATAAAGTTGTGCACATTTGACCATTCCCAAATATTGTAATATTGAGAATTGTGTGTGGGGACTCTTTTCAACACTTTGATTCCCCTCAAATAAATTTTCTAACTCTGTTTATGGGCCTAACTCTTGTCAAATCTTTTCATTATTAGTAGTGTTCTGAATCCTTGGATATTATTTCTAATCTATAAACCGATTTTGTTATAGGACGTGTTTGCAGCAGGGACAGATACAACATCAAGTACAGTAGAGTGGGCAATGGCAGAGTTACTCCGAAATCCGGAAACTTTAAACAGAGCCAAAGCCGAGCTTGAACAAGCTATTGGCAAAGGGAAACCAATAGAAGAGTCTGGCGTTTCACATTTACCTTATTTGCAAGCAATTGTTAAAGAGACCTTGAGGATACACCCGCCAGTTCCATTTTTAATCCCTCGCAAGGTTGAAAGTGATGTTGAAGTCCGTGGCTACATAGTCCCGCAAGGGACACAAGTGTTAGTAAATGTCTGGGCTATTGGCCGCGACCCAAACATATGGCTGAACCCAACCTCATTTATGCCTGAGAGGTTCTTGGGCTTGGAAATTGATGTTCGCGGTCGGGACTTTGAGCTAATTCCATTCGGTGCAGGGCGGAGGATTTGTCTTGGGTTACCCCTAGCAATAAGGATGATTCCAGTGATGTTGGGTTCGCTCATAAACTCGTTTGATTGGAAGCTTGAAGGTGGAATTGCACCAAAAGACTTGGACATGGAAGACAAGTTTGGCATCACCTTACAAAAGGCTCAACCTCTATGCGTTGTTCCAATCCCCATGTGACAATTAGTTGTCTGTCCCTCTTTTCCCTTTGATGATCCACAATTTTATTTTATTTTTTTACTATCCTTTTCTCTAGCTCTTAATTGGAAGCCTAATTGATGTGTATGTGTACTTCTCATATATATATATGTAGTAGGAAGCTTGAAGGTGGAATTGCACCAATGGACTTGGACATGGAAGAAAAGTTTGGCACCACCTTACAAAACGCTCCATGTGTTGTTCCAATCCCCATGTGACAATTAGTTGTCTGTCTCTCTTTTCCCTTTGATGATCCACAATTTTTTTTTTTTTTTTAACTGTCCTTTTCTCTAGCTCTTAATTGGAAGCCTATTTGATGTGTATGTGTACCTCTCTTCTATATATGTATAGTAGGAAGCTTGAAGGTGGAATTGCACAAAAGGACTTGGACATGGAAGACAGGTTTGGCACCACCTTACAAAACGCTCTATGTGTCGTTCCAATCCCCTTGTGACATTTAGTTGTCTGTTTCTCTTTTCCCTTCGATGATCACAATTTTTTATTTTTTTTTTAGGCCTCGTTTGGCAAGTTAACATTTTATCTACAAAGTCAAAAAGTTACTAAAAAAGTCAAAAAACCAACATATACTAAAAAGTCAAAGATTGTCCTTTCTCTTTACTTTTTGCACATCTTTTTGTAAAAAGTCAAAAAGTCACCCCAAACATACTAATTTTTTTTACCTCATATTTTAGCCAAAAAATTAAAAAATTACTAAAATAACATGTTTCCAAATGAGGCCTTAGCTGTCCTTTTCTCTACCTCTTAATTGGAAGCCTAATTGATGTGTATGTGTACTTCTCATCTATATATGTATAGTAAAATTTTTACTAAGTAACATTAGTGAAATTCAGTCTCATAGTTTATAAATAAAATTTAAAGGTTACATCCAATTGTAAATGGTAAGCTTAGAAAAGATGTGTATGTGTAGATGCGTATGTGTATGTATAGTAAAGTTTTTATTAAGATAGTGAAACTTAGTCGTTTAAAAATAAAATTCAAATGTCACACCCAATTGGTAAGCTTAGAAAAGAAGACTTATCTTATCGAACTAGGGAGAAACCCTTTTCCTAAAGCTTGAGTTATGATTTATTTATGAGTAATGATATATAAATAAAAAATTTATACATAATTTTAATAGAGAATAATATGATTCAATCTGAATATTTATTTTAAAACAAAATATTATAAATATAAGTTTATTTAAAAAATGACATTACCATCTTCTTTTTGTATTTTTTTATATAAATAGAATTTTCATTTATTTAAAGGGCCTTATCCAGTTTTTTCGATTTTGTTTAACCATGGAGTGTACAAGTTGCTGATATTTTGCTTTCACTAACCTGTCATGGGTCTAAATCTACAAGTCAAAGGATAAGTTTGATATTTTTTTTTGTCAAAGGGCAATTTGTCTGTAGTTAAATGTTGAGATGTAATTTTAGTCTCATAATTCACTCGTAACAACATGATCATAAAATTAAGTATTATATGATTGAATTTGTGATAAATTAAAAATTTTACACATGTCATGCCATGTCATTGTGAATATAATTATGAAACTTAAATTGTGGTATCAATCATTTCTCTAATCGTGTGTCCAAGGTAGTTTTAATTTTCGATGTTTTATAGAAGATTGCATAAAAATAAATACATAAATAAAACCTTTTGTCTGAAGACCATGCAAATGAAAAATTAAGCTGTCCAAATGCTCAAAAAAACATATATATACTTTATATAAACATCTATTAAAAAGAAATAATTGTTATGTATTACCGAAAATGTTCACCTAAATTCTTTATATGACACAGTAAATTTCACTGTGTTAAATATAGAAAGTGAAATAAAGTATTGAAATCAATGTTAAATAGCATTTCTATTAAAAGAAAATTTTGTTCCAGGTCAATAAAAATAAAAATTGGCATGTTATTTATTACCGAATTTATTTTATTATTTTATTTCACATTTCCTATGTAATTATACAATAAACATCATGTGTATGTGTAAGGGCCCATTTTGTTTATAAAATATTAGGACTTACCATTTTATATAAGAAGCTGCATAAGAGGTGAAAAGTTCAGGTGAAATATTTAGGTGAAATATTTCGGTGATACAGAAAGCTCTCAAATAAAAATTCTTAAATTTTTTTTATTGTTCTTAGGATCCAACAATAAAATTTGAATAAGACATTTTAAAGACTGATAGAGATTTATCATCTTTTTATGCCACTAATTGTTTTTGAAAAATGATATTAATTTGTATTTTTTATTTTTTCATTAGATAAATTTTTTAACTGTGGCTCAAACATATTTTTTATTTGCTAGGATATTGATTAAAATGTGATCAATAGAGCTTAAGGTCCCCTTTGTTTTCAGAGGTAGAAGGGAGAGAATTCATAATGAGGGGATTAATAGTGAGGGGATTGTTAGTAAGGAAATTGATAGTGAGGGAATTAAGTAAAATTGTGTTTATTTTTATGATAGTTGTGATTGTTAAATTATTTTTATATAAAATAATAAAAAAAATACAACAACATTAAACTTTAATGTTCAAAAAAAATGTCCAACATGTAAAAAATAAAAAAATAAAAAAATTTCAGAAAAAAATAAAACAAATAAAACAATGATTTTTACTTAATAAAAAATAAAATAAAAATTAAACATTAATGTTCAAAAAAAATGTCCAACATGTAAAAAATTAAAAAAATAAATAATAAAAAATAGTCCGGCGGACTAATTTCAAATACCAAGTCCCACGGGCCTATCCTAATCCCCTTCCCAAGGGGATTTGTAGTCTAGAGTGGATTACAAATTTCCTCTCAATCTCTCAAAACAAACATGATATTAGTAGATCTCACCTCACTATGAATCTTAATCCCTTCCCTATAACCCAAAACAAACGGGCCCTAAGAGAGTACTTTTTGACTGGTAAGTTTTTTTTTTTTTTTTTATCTGACAAAAAATAAAATTTACTTATGTCAGGAGAAGGTATATAAACATATAAATACGTTAATTCCTCACATCCTATAAAAAAATAAAAAAATAAAAAAAGGCTTACGTGTAACTCTTAATAGGTGAATTTATTATTTAATAGGTGTTATAAGAATTAATAAAGTTTTTTATCAAACACTATTAAAAAACGTCATTAATTATTAAGTTTCAGTGACAGTTTGAAAATTTTGTCACAAAAAATGTCATTAATTATATATTTTAGCGATAGTTTAAAAAAATTATCACAAAGTCACTAATTTTTAACTTTCAACGACAGTTTAAAAAATTCGTCACAAAAAATGTCACTAATTATAAGTTTTGGCGACAATTTATAAAAATCGTGACAAAAAAAAAGTCACTAATTGTCAATTTTTAGCAGCATGTGCAAAAAATCGTCATAAAAATTTATTTTTTTCAACGATTTTATTAGGATTTATTTTCAATAATTTTTTTTGAGAATTAAGTCTAATTATTAAAAACTGTGCACTGTGTTTGGTCGGGAGATTTGAAAAGGGAAAGGAAAAAGTAGGTAAAATAAAAATAAAATATACCTACATTACACATTTTTTCTCTTTTCTCTTTTATTTTTCAAATATCTTATCAAATCACTCAACTAAATATAACGTTAGTAATTTACCTTCAAAAAATTTTAGATAACACCTCAATTATTTTTCTCCATCAATATTAATGATACTGTTGATCCCTGGAGGGTGGGTCGGGTTGATCCACGCTTCCTACACCGTTCACCTGTCACTAAGCTCACTGGTGTGCTTGCAAAAATATCCAAAGGGGAACGGAAGTACCCCAGCAGACCCTCCGACAATCAAGTTTGAAGAGAGGAGATTGATAGTGTGTGGAGAGAGAGAGTAACAATAGAGAACTTAACCTTTTGTGTATTTTGGAAGCCTCCTTATATCCTTTATTCATCATTTCTTTGTCTACTCCGACCTGTCATATTGGCCGAAAGTCTATGCTCTAACTTACCTTGTTCATGGTGAGGCTGCCCATTCCGACGTGAAGGGGTTATCGCATTTAATGCTGCTGGAGCCTCATTAATGGCTGATGTGTGGTGCAATAACTCTGCAGGATCTTTGTCTGCTTACATGGCTGGTTCTCCTTTTGACAAGTGTTTAGATGCCGTTGGTTCCTGGTGCAACATTGGGTTTTCAATGGTGTTGGGCTTTAGTGCTTGAACCGTGAATTGGGCTCTAAGTGGTGGGCCAAAAGCTTCTGTGGGCCCACCGATGTCAGTAGTCCCTCATTCCCAAGTACAGTTTTAGTCCAACGAAGGGAATAAAGAAGAAAAATGGGATGTGTAGGGCCGATCAGGAGATTGAGCGAGAGGACCGACCGAGAGGACAGCCGACCGCGAGAGGTGTCGAGCGAGAGGACCGACCGAGAGGAGACCGACCGAGGGACAGCCGACCGCGAGAGGTGTCGAGCGAGAGGACCGACCGAGAGGAGACCGACCGAGATGAGAGTCGATCGCGAAGGGGTCCAACCGAGAGGACCGGCCGAGAGGAGAGTCGACTGCAAAAGGGGCCGAGCGAGAGGATCGGCAGAGAGGGGAGCCGACTGCGTAGGGGTCCGAGCGAGAGGACCGGCCGAGAGGACAGCCAACTGGGAAGGGGGCCGAGCGAGAAGGGGTGGCGGCGCTTGGGGCTCGAGGAGTGAGGAAAGCACGTGATAATGTGAAGTAGAATAGACGGGGAAGGGAAAAGGTTGGGGTATCGTGGTGGTACATGTAGTAAGATCTAAACCAATGGTGAGAGAGGTGAGGCGTTAGCAGGAAGCGAAGAGTTAGGACTAGGACGGGGCGTGGAAAATGCGGGTTTGGAAACTTTCGAAAATTTCAAACTGGCGAAATATAATCTCGATCCGTAGGCTATAGGCAAACCGTGGGCATTTGTAGTGATTCGTTTTATATATCTCTTTGCGAAAAATCAACACATCCCAGAGTTAAGCTCATTTGTTTCATGTGACACACCCCTCCAACACTTTGCGAACTTCCTCACGCTAGCGGCAAAAGCAATACACAAAAACATAGAAAAGATGGCTCGAGACAAAGCGTCAGCATGAGGCTAGAGGCATTAGGTGAAGACGATGCGGTGGAGTTGGCAGAGCAATATAGTACGGAGAGGCAAGAGGAAAGAAGGGCGGAGCAAGCGGCGCGAGCCCTGCGATCTACCATGATTGTGGCCGCAAGGTCAATTAGCCAAGTGGAACCTGACCACTGGCACACCAAGGCCGACAAGTCGACGTTTACGGCAGAGGAGTTGGAGGAGGGACACAGAAAGTACCAGATTCCGGCGGAGATAGAGTTGAAGTTGCCCACGTAG